AGAATTTAGTCTGTGAGCGTTTCAAGTGTTCATCGAATCCCGAAAGGCTCTCGAGATGGTCGGCAATTTTTTGTTGTAGTTTGTTTGTATCTCTTTTATTCTCTCCCTTTAGCTATCTATTTTTGCCAGCCTGAGAATCGATGCGAGTACTTTCTCACGAAAGCGACGCCGTCGCCGTGGGCATGCCCTGGTTTTCCACGAAAATCATTTCTGTAAATTACACACCGCAACACGTTAGCCCTTAGAAAAATTCAGCTATGCACGTGAAACGGTTCGTGTCGATTTTATTTTGAGCTTCTGCGTTTCCTGATTTTTAGAATCGTTTTTTTCATAAATACTCCAATATTAATAATATTAGATTGGCAAGTAAACTTGCAGCCTTGTTTTATATTTTCTTGCAAAATAGTGATTCAAATTATGATTACTTTGGTCGAAAAATGTTGCTCTTAAATTTTAATAAATAATCCTGTGATTGTTACTTATATTATTGTTGATACTATAAAACTTAGGCCTCCATTAATTAAAATAAATTCCATATTACAGCAAAAAATACATAATATTTGCTTTCCACTTTATTTTTACGTTTAAAACGATCGTGTTTAAAGGCGTGCTTTAAATTCGCTTAATCTGAAACGTATACAGTTTAATTTGCGCGTTAAAATTCAATCAGTTTTTTCTATCATGGTTTTAATTAATTTTTTTCCTCTCGTTTATGCGTTTCATAGTTTCAGTAATTAAAAATCATCCGTGTGATTGTATGAAAGTGATAATGTCACGGTCGATTTGTTATCGTGCTCGGGCATCAAACACGTGATTTCTGCGAAAGACGGAGTTGTCTGGATGCCAGAAGAAGAATTCGAATGTTCACACCCACGCGCGTGGAAGGTACGTGTGCATGTGAAAAACGTACGCATACGTGTTTACCAACTCAGAACTAACCGAGACGTTGACTTTTTCACCTTCAGACGGGACCATTGAATCGAGGAAAGATCGGTTCAGACGTTTTTGATTCGCAAAAAATACTCGGCTGTGTACGTTTTGGGTCTACGCGATAAATTCTAAATTTATCTTGAACGCATTTAATCAACGAAATACCACGGTATGGAAATGGCTCGCCATAGGATTTATCACTTTTTCTATTTTGTTAATAGCTAGATCAAGGTGTGGTCTGGTGCATTGAACAAAAGATCTTTGAATTCTATGGATTTTTTATTTTTTATCAAACACACGTAAATATTATTACATTATGAAATGAATGTATAATAACATAGTTAGAATATATAAAGTGTAGGAAATAAAATCATCTCTTTGATTAGTTCTGTACATTAATTTCTTAATATATAAAATTGTCTAACCGAGGTTACCATTTTCCATACAACATCCCAGCGACGTAAACTATTGTTATCTTCTCACGAGTACACCATTCAATGCAATTTTCCGTTCTTTGATAATAATCATCAATCATAAATAATTACCTACTGCTGTTATTACACGTGCTACCTTGACATTCGTTCGTTCTGACACATATCCACGATGGAAAGGTAGCTAGCATAGAACCTCTGACGCGTCTGGTTTCGTTCGTTTGGCTAAAAGTTTCACGTTACGAATCGACGGTGGCATGCTCGCCATTATTCCTAATATTAATGTTAACGTTAGAATCAAACTGGCTGTCGAACAGGGTCGCGAAAATTCGCACGTGCTCACATTCCTCCGCGTCGTCCACTTCTATTTCTTCTGGAGGGACCTTGGCCCTATTTGGTCGGCAACGAGGCAAACCGAGGCTTTCTAGTTTCAGCTCTCTGTTCCTTTGCTTTCTGTCAGCCACGGTGAAACCGGAGGACTTGGTCGTCTTCGTTACGTAAACCGCGTGCCTCCGCGCCTCGACAGCCACCGTGAAGAATTCATTCGTCGACGTTGTCCTCCTATTCGTCTTCTCGACGACACACGATCTCGATCGGGACGATCCTCCTCAGTATCCCATTCTACATTGTGTAATATTTACGCGGTTTCCGGTTCTGCCCGATCGTACATTGGTTATTTTTGGATAAGATACTGCCATTTTCTTGACGGGGTAGCTAGAATTGATCGACCTGCTACCGGGTTTTATTTTAACAACCTCGGTAGTATGTTTCTTCGAGACGTCAGTTACACAAGTACGGAAGGAAGGGAGCAGTGACGCGCGAGAATCGCGGGAGGTTATTCCGTTCTGGATTATTTTAACCCTTCTTCGGATTACGGAAATCTCGGCAACATCGCGGATCTTTGAACTAAACATCAGAGTTTAGAGAATTATTTGATAAAATGGTGCTTGAAGGAATTTTGTATTAAATTGAATTTTTAATTAGAAGAATCTCTCAATAATCAAGAATCTCTCAGTTGGCTTTCTTTGCATAATACGAGATTAAGTCATCGTCCATAAGGGGCAATTTACTCTGGCATCGTCGAAAGGTTAATCGGAAGCGGAATCGAACCCATCAACAGTACTTTGCCTTCAAGTCGAGCATTATTACCCACATCAGCGTCAAATTCATCGGACACCTACAAATTTTCGTGAAAGCGTAGCGATAATCTCTCTCCCCTTCGTTACTCTTCTTACCCATCAGTTGCCCTTTGCGTGCACACTGATTGGCATGATTATCGTTGTATCTTAATTGCAATTAAGCATTCTCCTTCTTATTTATTCTCAGGTGAGATGCGATGAAAGATTTCGGATAAAGGGTAAATCAATTTCCATCCAAATAATGTCAGAATGTTTTTACAGAGTTACATATATCCCCTATAACTTCTTCTTTCTCTAGGAAAGGCTAGTATGCTCGAGAGTGTACAATCCTTTCTGAATTAGCTTTAGCGAAACGTAGTTGAGTCACGTTTCGACTAGTGTACGCTGTGGTCATCAAATACCGACTCGAGTTGGATCTTGCGTCATTGACGCGGCTGCCGCCCATGAATGAACCGTGGAGGCGCACGTGTGCAAGTCGCCGGCATTTAAATACGGTTTAAAGCGAACGCGGCCGAAACGGGTTGCGGAGGTCGCATTTTAGCCGTGAACGAGCGTGAGAACGACTTTGCCGTCGATTAAAAGAACTGTTTCGCGTGCTTACCTCGTTACACTTGACGATTTCTCGATGAAATATTTTTTCCTAACTCCGTGCTATCATGATATTAGGTTGGTAAATAAATTCGCAGCCTTTCCGTGTAATTGCCTTCCAAAATCCCCGAAATTCTATCACGAAGTCGAAATATCGCCGCAAATTATTAGTTGGAATGCTAGACCCTAGAATTTAGGGTCAAAGAAAAATGGAAGAAGGTAAGAAGCAAAGGGAATGAACTTCTGTTTGCCTTCGACACTACAGTGCTAACGTTTAGACATACACTTTCTACATTCCATGAAACCCTCGCCTTGTTACCTTCTAACGTTTTTACAAGTTCAATTTACCTGCCTTATCGGAATTTCTAATCACGTAACTGTACCTTTCGAAATCATTAACAAAAAGAAATTTGATGTGTGTATATATATAGCTAAAGGAAATATCAGTAGGTAATGTAATTGTCATAAATTTTGGAAATATGCAACGAATTTATATGATAACGAATTTATGATCAATTTGGGTATTTAATTTCAGACGAGTCCGTTATTTTATGATCTTTTTATTACTTCCATTTTCGTAGCGATAAAATGCTTTTAATTATCATGGACTGGCACAATTATAAAGTTGTCAAACGTGGAAAGGGGTAGAATTAATATTCAACTCCTATTTTTTACACGGAACGTTTGTTAAGCTTTGAAGCTCTCATTTGGAGGTAGGGGTGATATCTTGATCGAATTTTATAAATAACTTATTTCCATTAAAATTTAGAAATTTTATTGTTTTCACATTATTTTACAAAATTGATCTATTGGTATGATATTATTGATATTATTTTACAACTTTTATCCTTATATTTGACGGTCTTGCCCACCGTGTAGTAGGTATTTTTCGTATGTTAACACCGTACTCGGACAGATATTTCGGTGAATGACACGTTTTCTTTCTTTTCGTGTTAGTTTCTAACACTTCTAACGGGCACTTGGGAACCAAGTCACGTCGAAACGGTTTTATCGCCTTCGATACGACATGCCTAATCATTCAGAGATTTTGCATGACCACGATTTCGAGGACACGGCACTCTAAAGCGTTTTGGCTATTAGCGAGCACATAACAAACGGAAAGGAGCGAGAAAGAGGAAGAAGATAGAGAAGATTAGTTTCAAAACCCGTTGGAGGCCACCATGGACGATTGCCATTCTTTTTTTTCAAATGACACGGACCAGCCTTCGTCATTGTCTCGTCACTCACACGATTCATTGATATCGAAATCTTTCTTAATGACACGTAGTAGTGATTGCCTCCTCATGCTATCTCTTTTCGTCTATAGTTAGGAGCTTTAATTTTTAAACAGACCGGTATCTTTTTCTACAGGAAAATTAATGAAATTTTCTCGTGTATATAATTTGTTCAATTAAAATTAATCTATTTCTAAAAATATCTAAGCCAAGTTAGATATTTTTACATTCTTATCAAAATTGTCTTGGAACCCATTGTGCCATTTATAGGCACTTAAGTTTCTTTCACATGATATTTGCATTCCTTTTTCTATTGTTGGCGTAAATTAAATATAATGAACATAATGTTATATAAATGATAGTGTAAGTCCGTAACCTAATGTTCACTGTGTATGTATCTATGACTCCGCACTTTTTGCAACACAGAACAGTTCAGTGGTAATGACCGTAAGTTCGTAACGATGTGGTTTAAATTTTAATCCCATTTTTTTTTTCCAATAAAAAAAACTGTTCCCCGTTAAGTGTCTGAAAGGGGGTGATTAAAATGTTGATTCTTACTATACTTCCTCTTAATATTAAATATAAAAATAGTCGACGTAGGAATGTCTGTTAATAGGCGATGCCAGTGGACACAGCTGTTAATTAATTCGAGCCCTCTTTCGTCGAAATTCTTGCAGAGAGTCCTTGAAGAGCGGCTGGAAAGTAGGGTCGATGCCATGATGAAGACCGGTCTGGTGCAGGAACTGCTTGACTTTCATCGACGATACAACGAACAGCGGATTAAGTCCAACACGTAAGTGCACGAGTTATATCAGTAAGTGCTTTATATCACGCGAGCCGGTCTGTCGGTTCAAGGATTTATCCTTCGTTTTTCTTTTGTTTTTGTTAAGTTCCCGCTTCATGCTCGGCAGACCGTTCCAACTTGCTTGCGTGAAAACCCCTTTTTCATTTCTTTCTTTTTTTTTTTTTCTTTTTTTTCATTACGTTTTACGACTTGATGCGGACGGTTAGTCTTAAGTGAAGATGTTAATCAGTGAGTTGTCAACGTAGAGCCGCGGACTGTTCGTCATACTTGTTAAGAGAATTTCCTTTTACTTTGCTGCCTTGTCAATGACTTAATTAAAACCGAAATTTCACGAATTGATCGCGTGATACTCGAAAGAAATTCCAAGTCAATTCGCGTAAAAATGAGAATTTTTTTATTTATTATGAAGCACGAGGTAGATCAATAATTATATAAATTTTATTTGGCAGTAAAAGCTTGTAGAGTTGATAGATATTATAAATCTTTTGCTGATTTGTCCCTTCGTGCCATACAACTTTCACGTAAACAATTCTTTTGTGTCCATCGATATGAAATAACAGGACTTTGACAGTTAATCGCGGACACCCTGTATAACATACTTCAAAATTCCGAACTCACGTGTGCATAACGAGCACGTGATCCACGCGATTTGTACGCAACACGCCAGCCAAGCCTTTGTGAATGAAACTCGCTCGCCTCTCGCCTTACTCGCTTCCGGAAATCGCGAACGCGTCGACCGGATGTCTGAGAGAAAATAAAGGAAGTAGTCAGTCGCGAGGAAAAGTATCGGCCTTCGTGGTTGTGAACAGTTCTTTTGCGGGAGCGGCGTATGAGAAAAAAAAAAGTCAGCTCGACTGAATGATAATCGTATTATCTGAGTACCTAGGAAGTTTGAAGCTGATATAAGAAAGTGGTTCTCAAACGGGTTAGGGTAAAAATATTATTTTTAGTGGTAAACAATAAACAGCATATTTTATTTTTAATTTGTGAGCATTAAAAATGAAATAGTTTATTTGTGGAAATAATATTTTAAAATTAGGGGACTTTATTTTGAAATATTTTAACCATTTTATTTTTTAATAAATATCATTATTTAATCTAATCTAAATTTAATCTCAATTTATATTGGTAAATATAATTTTTTAAAGGAATTGCACATTATTTGTAAACGATAACTTGATGTTTTCTCGTGTTCGACTTGCAGAATTCTCATCGAGTCATCAGATTCCACAAGAATCAGGTAGCTGGCGTTAAATGTTTTGCTTATCGTCCCTTCTGTCGTATCTTGTACGTATGCAAGATTAGATGTGCAAGAAACGTTTCAAAGTGTTCAAATTTTTCTCACTTTTTTCGCATTCACGAGGCCTCATTCTTGGAATTAGCTGAACATCGTGAAATGTGACAGAATGTCATTGAATTCGACACGATGTTCGAACATAATGTTATCTTATAATGTTCAGCAAATTCCTTTAATTTGTTGTGAAAGCGTGTGATGAAGAGTTCTTTTGAATATTAGGATCTTTAATATAGATATTTCAATTTGAAGTTAAAAAAGCAGGTCTATGAATGGTTTTGAATGCAGAACCAATTTGTAGAAAAATATCTACTCTACTTTGTAAAATATGAAGCTAATTCATTTTCAACAAGATTTGTATCTTCAACCATGTTATTACATTTACATATAGAAAATAATGCGTTATATTACCATTTTTCTACAGATAAGACGAGTTCATTACACTTTTGCTCGTTTTTATTGGAATGATTCATTTTCTTGATAGAAAAATGATTTGTTTAATAAGCCATCAAAGATCATCTTTTACACTGTTCCAGATTTGTTTTCACTTGAAAATGAAAGTAATGTTGTGTAATATCTCTAATAATCTTCTTAGAAATCGTGTTATGTACACTTCACCCTGTTACAAAATAATTATCTATCTGTTACGAAGGAATCCATTTCACCGTAATAATCACGGTGCAAAAATCAAATCAACAACAGCCATTAAATATTTCCAGTCTGTCGGTGCCTTTTCCGTTTCACGAGAAACGCAACAGTCAAGTACCGTTAGAAGAAACACGTATCGTGATAAGGCCAGATATCAGTTTGATTAACCACGATGCATTATATCAGCAGCAATTGCATCAAGAAAAAATGCAGTCGATAAAATTGCTTGAGAATGGGGTTTATTAATTATTGTTTTGATTGCCTCCGCATTGCCGGTTTAGCATAAAGAATGTTATGCAAGTGATATACATATAGTACATTGATTGTTGTGCTCATTTAACCCTTTGAGAACGGAACATTCTTAAGCTTACACGGAGTATTATTAATTTAACACGTTGACTCCCATTTATTACCTTTCATAGATTTTACTTTTTTTCTTTAAATTTTTCTAACTTCTTGCTCGCTTCCATATAAATCCTCGTTCTATTGACCAATGGCATTCCCGAGTTTCCAATCTTGCGATCGATGCGTAATACCGGTACTGACAATTATCGCTAATTACTGTCGCTAATTACTGGGGCGCCATTGCGCCAGTGTTTACACAAATTTCACGGTCAAGTCAATATGCAGTCGACTTTATCGTGTCACGTGTAACGCATGCTATGCAACGTGGATCAAAGGAGGGAAGGTTTCAGATGAATTGCATTGATATCTGGAGAAGTTTATGAGAACCAGTACCAAGCACGATATGCTTTTCTAGGAAAAAGATCTTAATACTCAAACGTTACTAATATGCTTGGGTTAGGTCTGGGTTAAGTTACCCAGGACGAGTGTTCAGTTTAGTATTTATTTTAACTTAATTCGACACTTGTTTCTTAAACAACAGATTATTATTTTTAGATGAATTATTTTTAGACATAATTTTCTGCATAGTGAGGACCTACCATTAAATTGATTTAAAAAATGATTGGAAAATCAAGAAATAATTGAAAACAAATGTGATTACGATTAATTAATCTTTTTTCACATAGTTCATATATCTGTTATATTATAAATGAATTGAATACAGTGGATACTCTATCAAGTGATTGATAACAGCATATTGAACTTTTTTATCATTATTATTGTTACTGCCTACAGATATTCTTTACATTGTAACAATTTTCCTGTTTTCATACGGCTTTTCCTCGTAGTGCGCAAGATATCATTATCAGCCTTTAATAACTTCGAAAGTAATCGCTGCTCTTGAAGCATTCGATATCAAATCTACCAGATTTACTTTAAAACAAATATATATCAACTTCCCTTTTTATATTTGACCAAATTTGTTCTATAATAAAATCAATATTTTGTCGATATCAGCCTTGTATCGATAAAGGTGGGCGACACTTCGAAATGCAAACATGGGCACAGCATTTCCTTCACATGAATTTCATATTTTTGTTATCATAATTTAATAAAGCATTTATGGATTTTTTGTTGTACGACATGTTAGTCTTATCTTCGAGATATTGGTCAAATTTGCACAAAAATTTGTGGGCCAATTAATTTGAAATTAATTTTCAAGTTTCAATTTGCTATCTCTCATTATTAATATAACAAATAGGGCTGTAAAAAAAATTCGAATTTCAGATCTCTAATCTAATTATTCAAATATTTGTCAAAATAATATTTTTCTGCCGATCTCTCTTAATAATTCTAATCATTCTTTCTTAATTATTCCAATATCTAATTTTCATTACTAGTCACCGATAACCTTTTTGCCATTCAGCCCGTTGAAAAATATGCTTACAATAATAATATTTGTTATAATTATTAAGTTTTTTCATTTTTTCCCTCGTGTATAGTCCTCCTTCGTTTTCTCCTACTTACGTACACCAATATTCATACATTTCTTCAAGTACCATGTCTTGTATTATGCAAATTCTCCCGTTCGCCTGCTCGACCTGCTCGACTTCTGCCGGATGTGACGTCACATTCTGAAACATTATAGTTGCAGAAGGCAGGTGTGATTAATATAATATCCCAATACGAGAGCAGTAGCACGGTGGTATGATTACGAGATATGAAACCTTTACGATACTATTAAACACCGAATCATAATTTTCCACTATACGTGCTTGTTATTATTTTGTACAATTAATAATTTTAGAAACTTTGTTAACAATTTATTCTTTTTCTTTTTTCAATTCAATCTCCAAAATCTAAGGAAACACGTATTGAATGTTTGAAAGAAGAAAAATTATAATTTGTTGAGTATTGTTATTTCATGAAAACATGTAAGAACCATATCTAACAGCAATCATATTTGACGGGTATGAAGAACTGCCTAGCAACAGCAGTAAAAAAAATTACGTATTCTTGATAATAATTACTGTCACTCGTGTCTTATCTTAATTATTGGTGCTATCATTATCACCATGCTTGCCACTGACATTTGAATTGTCATTTTGACTACAAGAATGTTGCCGTACCTACAATTTATGTCAATTGTATTGTGGTGAAATCAGCACTTTAACTACTGTTCGTTAATAATGATTATTCTTTTGAATCATAGGATAATTAGAGATAATTAGGCTGTTGAGTTGCGATGCGAAGACTGTTTTATCAAATTGTTATAATCTTTTATTATAACTTTTCAGTTTCTAAAATGTATACTAAGAAGTGTGTTTAAATTTATAAACATTGATTCTCTTCCAGATGAAATTCAAAATTCTTCCAAAAATTCATTTTATTTTTAGAATATGTTATTTTTGTATAAGAATTTTCTTTATTAGTGACACTTGTTAGTTAGAAGAATAATGAATTTCCAAGAAAAGAAGGTGTCTTCCTGTTTTATTTTCCTAATGGTATCATCAATTTTCTTGCTGAATATATTTTTGTATTTCTAGCGTTAGAAAAGATAGTAGAAATTTTTGTCAGACTATATTACGTGGCGTGATAATAGAAAACGATATGAAGACACATCCTGTTGGTTACCCAAGAGCGTAGACTTTGTTGACCGTCAGCCAAATGTTGATCGCGTAAAAATAAAATAGCGAATCACTTTGCAATAAAAAGTGTCGTTCTATTCTTCAAGTTCCCTCTAAAAATAGAAATTTGCGGTAAGAAAAACCAAACCTGACCTCAACGACATGAACAAAAATATAAAATTTATTTCATTCTGTGAGATGATATTTGGATGACTACGCTTTTGTAACTCCGCTCATTATTAGATCTTCCTTGTAACGAACAGGTGAACTTCAGCTTATTAACAATACTTCACAGGTGCCAGGTATTTCATTTGCATACAATGTACAAAGTACAGAAAATGATACAATGTCTCAACTTTGTTGTAAAAACGGTATACAATTGAAAAAAAAATTAATTGAAGAATAAAGAAACCATCTGTAAGAGATGACTTCCGGTATCTCAAAACAAAGAAGATGTCATACTTAAGAAGAAGTAATTGTTCATAGTTGTATAAAGAGCAGGCTTTGTACAAACTACACATAGCTATTGAAATGACATGACAAAATGCATGTAATAATTAAAAATTTTTCACAAATAAAGCTAAAGTAGTTAAACTACAGAAATTAGAAATTGTTCCCACGAAATTTACATGTAATTTACATATAATAGTTTACTAATAGTGAAGCACCTTTTCATAATTTATATATATACATATAAACTATCAAAATATATTATAGAGAATTTTGAAATGAAATGCAATTTGTAGGAATTAATGTAATACAGTAGAAGTAGTATGTTATTAATAATTTATAATAACTCAATAATGACCATAGAAGTCCACATAATATTAAGCGATTTAAAAGAAATATCATTCGTGTACCAGATGATGAAACGAAGAAATTTATTAAAAATTGGTATTGATCAGTTTGATTTCTGAACAGCTCATTTACAGGTACATATTTGGTATTGACACGTGTACGAACAAGTGAGTCGTGGCTGCGACAACTTTTCCCGCCACGTAAGCTCGACCTCGCCTCGTTTGCTATCACTACCCGCCATGATAAGAAGGCGAGCCTGCAAAATGCAGTCTTCCTTTCCTCGCGGAGACACGATCGACACTCGAGAATTAGACTCGAGGACTCGAGCATGCTCGTGTGATACCATTTAACCCTTTCGATACTACCGCCAAGTATGATAATATGATTGTTTTCCAAATCAGGTTATAAAAATAGAGAACTAAACTGACATTTTTTTGCGAATGGTAGTAATAAAAATTAAGATATTGAAGATCCAGCACCGATATCGCGTGGCGAAGGTACCTTCGGTACCAATGTCGTTATGAAATGACAAACCTAAAGAAATTAATGAAGGGGTGTTATAAGATATTGGTTATAGTCAGCAATAACAAAGAAATTAATGAGGTGCCATTTAGGTGGCCATTAGGGAATTCTTTCCTACTTTTTGAGCATAGCGGTTCCACACAACATTTTTTCTAATTGATTACTTATACTCGACTGCTGATTAATTAGCAGCACAAGTAGTTGCAAAAACTGGGAGATAAACGAGTAAATGAAAGGCGAGAGAAATTTTACGACGTGGAATGAACGATCATCGAACGTGAAGATTGAAGAGAAGCTACAGACATGAATCGGCGAATGTTTACATTCCAGGTCAGCCGATTACACGACGGGCATCTTCCAGAGCATCGGCTTCAAAGAGTTTCACGCTTACCTCGTGCTACCCGAGGAAGAGAGGCGAGAGAAAAAGGTGAGCAGAAGCGGCCAACTGCAACGTCGTCACGTTTACTGCAGCTGCAGCTGCATCGCGATGCAGTTCGGTTATCGTAGCTGCAGCCGATCTTGTCGTGCACGACATCTTACTAATATAGGGAAATAAAACAAATGTTGATTCACTTGAAAATTTGTATAAACATAGTTTAGATACTGGATTAGAGAATAGACTACGGAATTAACATTTAGCGTCTAAATTGTATTGAAAATACTAAAATTTATATTATATTAATTTATACGTAATGTTCACAGACAGAAAATATAAAATGTATATCATTTTAATTAATATAGCAATATAAATTGTTACTAATTACGTTTTCTATTTTAGGGTCAACAATTGCTGGAAAAAGGCATCGAAGAGCTGAATCTAGTTACGAAAAGATATGCAAAAAAGCAACAGAAATGGGTCATGAATCGTTTAGCACGTCGCAAAGATAGACAGGTATGAAATATGAAATTAACCATGTCATATTACATGCAGGGTGACAAGAAAATAAGTGGTCCCACTTTGGTAGCCTATTCTATTGGAGAAGCAACTGCATTTATCATACTTATTATTTCTGTAAGTTTATCTGTTTTATGTTTCAAATAAATTACAAGTATTGTGTGATTAATATTTACAGGTACCACCAATTTATTTACTAGATTGCACGCATGTAGATCGATGGGACAGTTGCGTGTATGAGCCAGCCGTGGCGATATTAGAAGCTGTGCTAAGGGGAAAGAAACCTGAGCAAAAGCCTTTGAATGAAACCATCGAAGATCAGAAACTTACCGACAGTAGCAACGAAGAATCACATTATTGCGATGTAAATTTCAATTCCAAATGTTTTATTTTTAAATATACACTACTGAACAAAAGTCATTGAACACCTAACTGATTTGATTCTTATGACTTCTGAGTGAAAGTATAGTTCCATTGATTAATATTATTATATATTTATATTACAGGTATGCGAGAGGATTTTCATTGGAGAACATCAATGGAATGCGCATATACATGGTATGAAACATATGAAGACTGCGAAAAAGAAAAAGAGATTAGCTGAAGAAAAACAGGCAGAAGAGAGAGTCAATGATAAAAGTTGATGTAATTATTGTAAAATATGTTTTAAGAGAAAATATTTTTTACATGTTTTATACATGTCTAAGAAGATCACGTTTGTTCTTCCATGATTTGTTTTTCCATATTAGTATAATACTTGCTGCTCGATAACCCGTTTTTAAGGTAACGAATAGATGTTCACTTATGCTAATGATTATTTTATGTTAAGTAGAGTTTTTAATTTATATCCAGATAATTGAACATTTATGTTAGTATCTAATTTACAGTTACAGTAGGTTCACGTTATATTGCCGCATGAGTGGCCTCCCCCTACATTTCAAGATGAAGAAAATGCTTGTTCTTATATCTCCCCCCTTCACGGTGAATTAACTATTTCCTTTTCCTAGGAAAAAGCGATGTAGAGAAAGAAGGTCCCATCACTTGCATCAGTACTTGAGAGTTGTTGTCCATCATCTTTTTCTTAAATAGCTGAACCTATTTTTCTCTTTTTAGCCCAAGATTTTAACAGCGCCACCAATGTATATCATTTGTGCAGCCTCCAGCACGCTCGGCGTCTCTTAACGCATCTGCAATTATCAATGTTATCATTTGTTTTAGATGAAAGTGCATATTTTTTGTTGCACAGGTCAATTCCACGAATTAACTGGGGGCCATTTAATCCGTTTACGCTTCAGAAAATCTATGGACCTACGGATGCAGTGCTTTTCGAGCCATTTATATTTGCATTTTCATTTGGAAAGAATAATAGAATTGTTAATAGCAGATGGTGTTGGACGGTGTTGCAGGATGTAGGTTGATCATGCATCCTGTGAACCCACCTGGTCTGTGGCGCCACCTACCCTAACATTCGTAGCCATCTAGCGGTAGTCTGGTAGTATCGAAGGAAGTACTTATATGTTGTCGACCTCTGTTGGTGATACGCCTGTACCACATCGTCCTGCTTTAGTTCAGCGCCGTACAACTGAAAAGATAAGGTATTATATTTTCACGCGCTTTTTACACAATCCTTTCTTGATATCATAGCACATGGGACGTGTAGAATAAACCAGTCATACAATATTATTGTCTACCGCGTTTGAGAACTTTTGAAATCCTCTTATCATTTGAGTGAGTATCACATTTTAGTGTATCAACTGAGGCTAGAATTATATCACAGCGTTCTTAGTGGTAGGAATTAAAACTAAAGGGGTTTTTTTCTTTTATATCTACAATTAAACAATGAAAAAACAAAATTTGAACTTACTATGAAAACAACTTAACAAACCATAAATGACATTTCTTTTCATTTCTCTCAAGAACATATCAAGATAACCGATTAATGTTAATTTGTGTAAAACTTGTTTTGGTATATTTGATCTGGATAAAGGCAGCCTTCCTGATATTTTTTTTTAGGAAGTGTTCACGCAGAATTATATTTGTTACTGATAAATTATCTTTCTTATAAAGCCTGTATTTCCTCGACATATGTGTCACGTGTTTTATAGCACGGTATCAGTTCTTATCGTCATCATTTCAATTTCGTTAAAAATACAGGTTTTACTCGAACATTTAAAATAGATATTGGCTCTATGTAAGAAAGATAATTGCAACATTTGCGTGCAGCCTGGCGTTTACCGAGTCATTGTACTCGGCACGCACAGATCGCTATTACATATGCACATTGCATTAAGACAGGTCACTGATGCACGTCAAGGAAACAACTCCCTATCGATTTCACAGTTTTCAACGCAGAGCATTTTTTCTTTCATTGAAAATTACATTTTTAATACGTTGATTGCCTCAGTGAAAATCAACGTGTGGATTTATATTTATTTGCAACCAGTTGATTCCACTCACTTCCTAATTAGATGGATGCTTTATGCTCATTCTTAGTGGGTTTCATTCACACCTCTGCATTGGCTTCCTACAGCAATATTAATTCTATTTTAATGCTGAATCACACTGTGAACCAATCATTTTCATAAGATAATCTATACTTTCATTACTTGATGAATGTTCAGAAAGTGCAATTTAATAGAAACAACGGCACAAAATCAAATGAATCATTTTTTTTCTGCTCTGTTTTTCAAATAATCGTAGAAAAATGTTCATCGATCAAGAAACAATGAATCAGTCGTTACAAAATGTTCCACTTACTCGATGGAAATATACAGCGCGTATACCTTTGCAAGAATAACGTTACACTTAATTTTATTCGCATAAAATAAAATGCAGCATTTTCTAGCCATTTTTCAGCTGCTATAATTAAAATTACATTTTCTTATTACATGTTAGAAAATCGTTGCTATTTATTAACTCATGAAATTTTCTACACATTTATTCAATACAGCAAGCTATAATTTAGTTTCGCACGCATTATTAGAATTCTGATGTCTAGCAGAGCTGCAACTTTTCAGTAAAATGTTTCTCAGTTTTCCCTAAATGATATGTTCAATTACCGTTCTGGATTATGTGAAATCTCGCTGAAACCATGCATAGAATTAAAACAGTGTAAAACTGTTGATACAGTGACGTACGAAGAGTGGGGAGCACCAGCTGACTGGTCTCTCTCGGTGAAACTGTCTCTTCGTTTGCTGCGCGCCGTTGCTTTGACAGTGTTATATTAACCTCCGGCAGAGTGAAGTCATACTCTTTCTCTTCATAAATTTCTCTTCCACGCTTGAAAGAAATTTACACGGAACTTTTCGTGTAATTACCAGCGCGTGAAAGCGTTGCGAAAGTTCGCTAACCAGTGTCTTACAAGCTCGAAGGACAAATCGGGTAAAGTTAAGAGCGGAAGAGGGAACGATTGGATTTTTGAACCGTTTGAAAATTCCCAGGACACCGGTAACCGAGATAAAACAAGTATCTACATCCACGACAGGCACAAGGGAATCTTTATTGAGACATTCTACGAATTTGTGCTACGTGTTGTGCGCGATAAAGCTTATCGTTGCCCGGCAACTTGAGACCTTTCGTGTTGGCAGAGAGCGATCGTTTTTCTTTTTTCGAGAAAGTAACCCCTCACTCGGCAAGGGTTGCTTCTGCCGGAAGAACCGGAAGTGGCTCTAAACGAGCGAAGGGTGAACAATGTCGACACTGCAGATAGGCTTCCCTTGAAACTCTCCTCGTGTTCTTCAAGATAATAATTTGACCAGTTGAGTCATGCTTTGTCTTCTTGCGCACCGTCGAAAGGTAAATAAACTTCGGCTCGTTACGCTTTGAAAGAATTGCGCAGCCTTGGCGCGTTTCGAAATTCGTCGAAGAGTTTCTATTAAAAAATTGCTAAAAATTATAGTAATTAACTTTAGAAATAAAATAAGAAAGAAAAATTAAATATTTTGAAATATAATACTATAATACTATAATGTTTATTAATGTTTTCATCCAGAAAATTTTCAACAAATTATTTATTTTCACTTGTGTCTTTAAAATTAGTATTGAAGAAATGATTTTGGTTTAGCCCTTGGACGGCGGACCATGGAGAGAGGCCCAATTTTTATTTATTTTCTATTTCATATTTTCATACTCGTTATTTCGTTATTTATATTGTATTAATATCGTTATATATGTTTTATAAGTTTGGGTCACGATTAACCCAGGCTTCGGTGTTCAAGGGTTAAAGATCTAAGATTCTATTTTTAACTCGAAAAGATTCGAAGCAATGAATCTATAAAAAGTATTAAGAAAAAATTGTTGCATAAAACATGTATGATGCACCAACACAGATGCACTGTTTGTTTACGACAAATTATGTATGAATTATTTTGTCGCACGAGTGCTCTTGCATCACGTGTTCGATTCATTTCCGCATGGAAGTCAAGTACGTATCATGCTCTCGAAGAGACGAAGGAGAGCCATTATAACCGCGAACTGAAAGAGAAATCTCTATGCCAGATGCACACGGTGCTGCTTTCACATTGAAAAACTTTTTATCGGCTGACAAAGGAAACTGCGAAACTCGAGGTGAGCATAATAATTCGCACGAGGTTGCGTGACGGCTCAATTTCATTCTAACGTCCTCCACGATGCTGATTTGTCAGACGATTTTCCTCTTATGTTGTCTCCTAGAACCCTGAAGATGAGCTTAAGAAATTTCTTCTCTTCATATACTACGCGCTCTCAAGCAACCGTTCGCTTCTTTCTTTTGTACGGATTATCCTTAATTATTCTTAATTGCGATCAGACTCGATTAATATATCTTCTTTTCTCTTTCACTTCAAACGTTGTACACCCTTGTCTTTCTCTTCAAATTTTTCTCTGTATTTACTACTGGAAAATTTGTATTTGCTATATTCAGAAATTTTTAGGTTCCTTTTTATAATCTATTCTATTTTATTTGATATGTTCTAATTTATTTATAAAAGTGGGCGATGAAAATTTGAAAGAAAAGAATAAGAGTTTAACTAAAACCATACCTCATACCTCTTAACGAAGCATACCTCAAAGGGTTTTGCCTTCTTTTTTACTGAGTTCTCTATGAACTTATGGGCAAGGGTACATTATTAGATTATCGAAGCGCTTTACTTGTAATCAGGGCGGTACTCTCTATCGACCAATTAAGAACTGGGTCATCCGTTCGTTTATGGGAATCAAAAATGTGGAAGCAATACTCGTCGATAAAGGATTGATCTATTCTGTTCATTTTTAAAGCACTGTTTAATATTTTAACTAAACCTTCAGAGATGACAGATTTCAGATTTCTTTTTGTACATTTTAGAAATTATAGGAAACTTTAGTCTTTTGTATCACTTGATCATACGTTGAATTCATTCCGGATATTCAGCCAATTTCGAGGGAAACATTATTAGCAGACATTTTTAATTACATTAATGTTAGGTTACTTACGCAAGGAATCAAGGGGATAGCTTAAATTGAAAAAATGGAGCAGTGGTGTTCTGAATAAGTGCAATTAGAGTGAGCCTTACTACACGTGGTTTTTCTTAAATTAAATTGCGACTTTTAGAAATTTGGAAAAGTTTAATTATTGTAAAGTTTTCTGCATAAACATTTAACTTCTTTAAAAATCATGATATAATTCATTTTAACAAATAATGTATACGGATTAACAAACGGTTAAATTGAAGAAATAAAAGCGTTTGTCGAAACTGGAACAAGAGACCCAATAGAAACAAAGCTATGATTTTATTTTATTTTCTGTTTTACAGTAACAAAACGTATTTCACTGAAACAGAAATGTTTTACAGAGGAGTGGCTATGAATTGAAATTTTCAAAAGTAAGAAAACTCGACAAGTATTGTTCTGAAACAGGTGTAGAATCTTTCCTGATTTGAAGTTGTATTGGAATATGAACTGAATAGGAAACAGGTATTGATTTTGACCACATAATAGAGTTGCTATATTCAGTTGCCAGTTAACTACAGAGAATTTCATCGATCGAATTCCAATGAGTTGTTGCTGTACCAGGTAGAGATTGATTCGCGGAATTGCAATCCGTGCACGTCGGTGCATTCTTGGTTAATAACCTTGACCCATCGGTGCATTTAGCAACATTAATCTAGTCGAATTGCCACCCCAAACGTGTAATTAACGCTTTGACCATCGATGTGTGATGCAGTCAATCGATATCATATAAACAATTGCATGTATTGTTTAAGGGAATTTAAGTAACAGAATTCATGTCGTGCGCATCGAAGTATTACGATGTTTAAATACCGCACGCACAATATGGGTAACCATGAGAACAAGTATTAACATCCTTTTATGGGGTATCGCAAATAGGCGGATGTGGCGTGATCACGTGCGTGGAAAGCACCATCACACGTGTGTGGCTTGTACACCGTGACGTAATGCTGTTTATCGTAACAAAAAGAAGGAAAATATCACCGTACAAACAAAACGACGTGCCATCAAATAAATTAAATGATCGATAAATTCCAAACTATGGACTGATATTTCTTTAGTGTTTCCTAAACAATTTAATATTCCTTTTTTTCAGTATGATAAATTTATAGCAAATTAAATGCTTTGTTTAATCATGATTCATTTTTTTTCTTTTTCTCTTTGCTTCATTTTTAATCAAGCGCATATGCAAAAAGGTTCAGAGTCGTTTGCCAAAGCAAATGCATATGCAAGCAGAGAGAAATTTTGCTTGAAAATTTCCTGTCTTTATCCAGGATATGATAATATCTCTCCTGTTTGGTCAATGGCGTAAGTAACCATAAAAATATCCGGGATATGTTTGATTCCTCACAAACCCAAGATTAAGAAACTGATTAGATAATTATTCGGATTCGATTTGAAAAATTTGCAACCGATTAAATTTCACTACGCCTTTCAATTATACTGCAATCATTTTTCATTATTTTTTTATTGCTTTATCGAACAGAGTTGTTTCAGGTAATCATCTTTTCTTTTTTAAATTAGATCACAATCAATTTGATATAATTACTATAGAACAACATTGATCAAAAATATTATTTTTTAATTAAACATACAATTTATATCCTTCTCCTGTATTTTGATATAAAATGATAATTTTTGAATCATTAATTTAAAGTAATTAAAGCTTTCATAGGGTGATAAATCTTCTCGAATATCGTTCTCATTCACATTATTATCACCTGATATCCTGCGGAAAATAAGCGTATCGCGTGAGAGACTTTCGCGTCCGCTGCATTTTGTTTCTGCACCATGTAATCCGAGTACCGAGACATGAAACAGGAACTTAGATCTTGCCGAATCGATTACATACATCATGTGTAAAGAAAAAAGGCCAAAGTATGGATAAATTAGATATTCAACATAAATTCGATTTTTCATCTTCTTTAATTTAATACAATATAAATGACTTCGGAGTATAGTATACACTTTATCACATCAAACTTGAAACGTTATTAATGCTCGCATGGACGTCACGGTACAATATGAAGTTCGGTCATTTCCTCTTTCCAAGCTGCGGCCGCTGCTTTTAATTAATTTGCCTAGTTCTTAAAGGGGGACAGGGTCACTAAAGAATAGGCCATCAATGTGAATAATTTTGAATATTTCAATTCTTTTTATTTTTTAACTTAAAAAAAAAGTGTTTCGTACAAAAGAATATTAAACTATTTTATTATTCGAGGAAAATTAAAATTTCATAAAATCTTTATTGATATGATTAAGAATCTTTCAGCAATATGAGATTAATGTTTTATTTTTTTTTTAACGTTCCAAATTTTTGAAATGTTAGTCCCATAAATATTTGTATCTTCGCTGTTTAATGTAATATCAAGATTAATTACTTAATAATTACTTACACTAATACAATGAATGATATAATTTTATTTTACGTTGTTTTTTCTTTTTATTATATTAATGCTAGATTACTGCATCTCACGGATTATTATATATGCATAGGTATTAGAAATATGTTGCATTCGATCGAACAAAAAGTTGACCGAACATTTCCTTCCTTGTCGTGCTAACCACTTCCACTTCTAGTCCCAGTTTCGATTTAATAGCCGCATAACTCTTTAACACGGTGTACACGTTCCTGGTGGCCCTGATCCTCGTTGTATTCCGCAATTAATTTGCTCAGTTGTTAAGGAGGCCACAGCTATAGAAGGAATAGCGACCTGGCTTTAGAGATAGCTTTAGACGACGCGTGTTACCATATCGCGTGCGTACGCGACGCAATGTGTCATACCGTGAACACACGATATGTATGTAGATACAGTGAGTGTAGAAAGTATTCTTACACTGATTAATTTGAAAGAAAACTTTGGAAAATTTCGATTTATTAACCTTCTATAACGCCATGTAACATTGGAGTCGTACGTTTATATTTTTAACCCTTTTTAGTAGAATGACGTCTCATGCGCGTCAGTGGTTTTTGTCATAAAAGTGCGAATTATTAGTAACAAGATTTAGCAAAACATTAAAAGTAGATGATAGGATTATATGCATTTATTATACACACGTGTAGAAAATTTATATAGAAATGATTTCAAATGATGCACTTTGAATGATTTGATTACACGCATTAGTGCATCAATCTCCAGCGCAAGTGGTTTCATTTCATGTTTTTCACCGCAGCAAAATGTAGTTATTGCAATATCCAGTATTTTTAACACTCATTTAGAGATGATAGATAACAGTTACATCGAGTGAATACTATCGTTTTTTCATTTCAATAAATAAAAAATGTTTATATAATAATTATACAAATTTATCTCTTATTTGATCGCGTGTAAGTAATAATTTTATTACTAGTTTTATATAATATAGCTTTGTGACTTCCGTGTTACGTCAAGCGTTAATGATAATGCATTAAGTAATATTGATAACATGTGCATTTCTTTTCCTTATTTATTTTATGATATTATGGAGAGTAGTACAGTACCATCCAAATCCTTTTTTCTTCTTATGGATAAGACAAGTAAGGAAGAAGATAATAATCTAACAAAGAGAAAAGTATATCTTGATGAAGAAGTCACTGAGTGCATCATCAAGTCATTCGGTGCAGTATATCACATATGAGAGTTGAGCATATGTCGAATGCACAGATCAAGAAAGTATTAATCATTTGATTTGTGACATTCGCATTATTAATCATGTAGTTCTACATCACCGAATGTACATATGCATAAAATATGTGTATCATTAAATATACCATTAGAAACGTTAAAGTGACGTAAATTTTTTCTTAAAAAAAGAGGAATGTTTCTGCAATTTTTGCAAAATCATGACGATAATTGTAATTGCAATTATTTAGTTTATGTCCCATTTTTCAATTTAAACTTTTCAGTTGGTTCCCTTCAAAATTAATAAATATTAATACCACTTTAATATCTTTTAGTTATTGAATTATATTAAATTTGTGGTGCTGGTCAGCAATGGTCCCCCAGCTTTATATGTTAATAAACCGCAATTTTATGATGTCTTGTTGGAAATTGATCGGTGTACGAATACTTTCTACACCTACTGTATGTGTGTACGTGGTTCTCTGGTATTTAAGCCGCGTGCACACATACCTACCTTATTAAGTACGAACGGTGTTGCGCGTTACTGGTCGTCAGGGAATGAGTGGTGCGTTCGCGATTGAACAGACACTACGATGCTTTTCCTCCGCGCTCTGTACACGTTATACTCGGAATGAAAAGTATCGTTAACGATGTATCCCACTGTGTGGTACGCAATAGCTTTTGCGAACTTGGTGGATCCTACGATTAAAAATGGCAGCATGGAATGCTCGTTTCAATTCTAATTTCATATGACGAATTCGTAGCATATTAACACGTTGATTGTCACAGTGAAAATAGGCATTTGTTATGACACATATTGAAATTCTAATTATTAAGAATAGAAATAGTTAATTTTTAAATTTCAAGCTATTTGCTATTTTACATTAAACTAATGTTTCTCTATTGATTTCCTTTAATTAATCAGGAATGTGTAATTTACGGTATCACAAAATATCGACAAAGAAGAAACAGAAAGAACAATATCGAGCCACTATTACAGGGGAACTTGAACATAGAAATAAAAATCTAGTTTTAAATTACCTTTCATTTACTTGCCTATATTCTATTAGCGATAATAACAGTGGCGGCTCGTAGTTAAAATTAGTGAGGGTGCTGCTCCAGAAAATTTTTAGCCTTTGTTTTAAAAAACCGGCACTGCGAGAGCGACAGTGCTTTCTCTACTGCGCAGCCTCGCGCGCAGCTTTCTATGTGCGCATGCGCACACAGTCAAACACCACGCCGCTGGAACTGTGGAGCCCATAGTTAGTTCCATACAAAGACTTTTGTATCTTTTTCATAAACTGGAGGATGGCTACTGGCATTAAACTTAAGTATTATATATTGTACAAGTATAAAGAAAGAATCAAAGAAAAAAGGACTCGTTATATTAAATATTATCGATAATATCAAGTGGAAATAGGGAGGTGCTGCAGTTCCACAGTGCCTATACGCCAGTCTCCACTGGATAATAATAATAATTTATAGTAAAAGTTTCTCCTAATAATAGTCCTTGCATAAAACGTTTTGTGAATTATAAAACGTAATCGGTAGCAGAGTCATCGTTGTCGATTTGTCGGTCGCTGCAGCGATGAAATTAAGGTTGACCGAAGGAAAGGGGATCTCAAGAGTACATCGAGGGTCATGATGAGAGGTGGTGAGGGTCTCAATTGATTTGCTGGAATTGATGCACAAAAAGGTCTTTAATAGGTGTCGATTATCTTCGCCCACGGTTTCCGACGATTATCCAATCTTGGTCTTGAAAGAGGTGCAAAAATCTCAACACCACGACAATATTTTCAATGGCGCATCAAGGAAACTGAATGGTCCCTAGAAATGTTATAGTCATTGAAATATATGTCATCGGGTGGAATACGTAAATCAACGATGTAATTCAATTGATCGAACGAATCTTTTTATTATATTAACAATTCAGCTTTATTTTATTTAGCATATGCAGCGATTGACGTCATGAATGTGCGTGCGTGCGTGCATGCGTGCATATTAATACAGAATTTAAAAAGAATATACGGCGATAATATCGATTTTATTAATATTTTTATAAGCTTTTCCTGCTACATACATATTTGATATTGTATATGACAGTACTTTATACAATATCGATAACGATGACTAATCTACCATAAAACACTTATAGGTATAAACATTGATTATTGTTCCAATATCTAATAGATAACAATATTAGCTGCTTAAAGAAGTAAATAATCATTTTTTGTATTTTTGTTCCATGCTTTAGTAAATCTTAAAAAAATTCAAGCCAAAGATATTCTCATCATCAAATCATGTTAAACAATTTTTGTTTTGAAATCCTCCATCTAATAAGTAATAATCTAATGTTATAGTTCATGATATTTATTTTCCTACTAAGAAATTTTCGATGGTTTATAAATTAGGTTGTCATTTCAGTGTCATCCGCTTACACCATAAGCGTTAACCCATAAAGGTACTGACCCGAATATTCTCAGTAAAGCAAAATAAACATTAACTTGATTGACTCCCTGTAACTCGGTCAACCTCGACAATACTGTTCACCCTTCCAAGCTTCATCTTCACCGTTACCAGCAACCCGTTGGTCTGCGACGAAAAAGGAATATACCCCCTTTACGGATGAGTTGGCCACCGGTTCTCGAGAATTTCTAAATTTATAATCGTATTTTGAAGTTCGACCGTGTACTCTTGCAGCGTTTATGCCCAAGTCTACCCACGTGTGCACCTATATACATTCTCATTCGCAATTCAAATACGTTTGAATATTTCAAAACATAAATAAATATGAAAATTTGATGTGACCTCTGTACAGGGTGTTCCAAAATTAACCGAGTGAACTTTACTGAAGACCACAGCTAAATTAAATTTTACTCTTTATTGTAAATAAAAGAAAAATTTCAAAAGTATTAAAAGTGAGGTCCCTGAGCAGAATTAAACAATTTGGTATAAAAACACATGAGTATGACTTTTAATAGAAGGAAAAATAGTAGAATAGGGTTAACAAAATTTAGAAAATCTGAATATTGGGTCCAAAATTCATAAATAAAAAATGATAAGAATATTTATGTTTATCTATGCAATACTGACCACTTTTTTCAAAAAAAAAAATTCAAAAATTGGTATTTTGCAAATGGTAACAGCAGCGTCACCGGAGGGTGAGCCGACGAACTACCCCCATTGATTTTTCCCGCGAACGTATCGCCACCACTGTCGTTTACCAAATAAGGAGAGACTCCGAATCGCGCCACTATACAACCCAACCCTCAACGAACAGCATCATGGCCGTCCGTTGACTGACAGTTGTTGCACTTTCTTCGTGTACTTGTTGACCATCATCAAACTTCAACGCACACCTGTCATCGTCATGTATTCGCGTTATCGGTCGCGGTCACGGTGAGTTTCAAAAAGAAAAATGTCTCGTGTACATTACGACAATATCGTCGAACTATTGAATTTCAATCATGTCTTCGACCTTCGCGTAAGAAGTGAACTGACTGATTCAGTTTTCTTTCTTCATCTATACCCTAACAACCGGGACATTGATTTTCAACCTACTCTACATTTCACGTGATTTTATGTCAAGTGATTATAAGGCACGGTGATTTTTAAAATATGAACTGAAGTTTTGTTTATGTGATTAGTTATGGTAATTTAACGACGTTTGCTTGAAAATGGTTCGGTTATCTTGATAAGATATAGAGACGGTGATTGTTGTGACATTATCATGATAATATTTTGCTGATTTCGAGCACGGTTCCGCATGGAATCATCGGTGGAATCTTCAGTGTAAACATTTATTCTATTCCCATGCCGGATCATGCTATTTCCAATCGGACCTAATCGATTGGAATAGGAACGCGGTGGATCTAAACTAAACGTGATTAAATTATTTGTAAATCTACTAGTTTTGTAATTTATTACTTTACAGATACAGGAACTGTAGGTATTTCCTCTACAAATTTTAACTAATATACAAATTATTCATAATGCTGGCCATCAGTGGTTCTCATGGCATTCGTCCTATTAACTCGTGCACACTTTTTGTTTCAATTTTCAAGCCTGAAAGAATCAATTTTCGCAAGAAATAGCGAGTAATTCGTAAATGTGTATGATTCAGCATGCTGAGAAATTTTGTTAACGGTATATGCGCTTTTCTGCTAAAAATAACGGAGACATTCGTCGCTACATTGGAATCTGTCGGAGACAATTTTAGATCCAGCAAACTCGATCGTTGTCCCCTCACGTGTGACAAGTTTTCGCTACGTTTTACCATTTACCAGTATTTCATTATCGTTATGTATCATTAATTACACACACGTTTTCAAATAAACAAATTTCTATTCGCTTTCGCTATTTCTGATACAGGTTGCATTCCATAAGTGAAACGAATCAGTTGCTGTTCGTGATAAAAAAGATTTCAAATGATTTCCAGACATGTTACTGATAATTTTCTCGTCTATGTACATTTCAATTTACGGGTAAATTTCATTAATGTACATATTTGTTCTTTCTTGATGTTTAGATGTCTTTCATCTTATAAATAATACCCACTGAAAGAAACTCTCAGACTGAAGATGGGCAAGCTTTTGAGTCTCCTGGCTCGAGATGAGTCTACCTGTTGCACGCCTCAAAAGTACGATGTCTTTTTGGATTTTGAAAGTAAGTTTTACAACTGGATTCGTTTAGAAATTCCTTTGAAACTGGGTATTTTATCTGCTGTTCGTGTTTCTCAGTCGAACTTCAATTTACCTTTTAATGGAATATTTTAAAATTGAAAGGCTATCAGCACTACCTGAAGTTTATTAATAGAAATCATTCGTTTGGGGTAACATATGTGGTTTATATCGAATTTCAGATGCACAACCTTCTGACTTGGAACGGGAGACCTTTGAAGCGGTGCAAAGGGTTCTGAAAAATTCAGAATCCATCTTGGAGGAGATTCAATGTTACAAAGGGGCTGGGAAGGAAATCAGAGAAGCGATTTCGGCGCCTACGGAAGAGTGCCAACGAAAGGCTTATCTGACCGTTGCACCTCTTGTCGCGAAGCTGAAAAGATTTTATGAATTTTCATTGGAACTCGGTAAGTGTCCATTTTTTCATATTATCCCCTTAATTTTGCCTTACGTTTTTATGGCGAAGAATTTCAATTTGAAATTCGTACTCCCTGGGCACCCCAAAAATTGAAAGCAAATTATAGCAATATGGGCTCTCCTTTATGATAGCAGTCATCGGTGACTTCCCACCATGCTGCATAAAAATTGATCCCTTTTTATTCCGATAAACCGATTAATTACTTTTTTAAATGAAGCCATGCTTCTTGTTTTAATTGTGATTGAAACTTTCGAAATGGACCTTTCAGTTTTTATAGGCAAACGTATATTCAATGTCGGATTGTGTCTGCAAAGCCATTTGCTAGAACTAAATAGAAACGTAAAAACTTAAATGTCGATATTGCTTCAGCAACGTGCCGCGAAGGATTATTGTTCAGCTTGAATATTCCCGCATACACAGTGATTGGAAACCGATATCGCTGCTTGAAAACCGCTAGTAAACTCTCAAAGTATTTATTGCTTTTATTCTAAATAAAGCGGGATTCACTCAAGCGGGTTGAAAATGTTCGCTAATGCACAAAGTGAAATTAAAAGTGTAAACTTTTACAACGTAGATTTTCATAAATGTTAAATAGAATATAATTGGGGTTAATAACGAAAGTATTAAATGTATATTGCATATGTTTACGATTAATGTTTTTATTCTTTTTTTTTCCAGAAAAAGTTGTACCAAAAATCCTGGGACAACTGTGTTCAGGGAATCTTTCTCCGACTCAGCATCTCGAGACTCAACAAGCTTTGGTGAAACAATTGGCGGAAATATTGGAATTTGTTTTGAAGTTTGACGAACACAAGATGAAGACACCCGCGATTCAGAATGATTTTAGTTATTATAGAAGAACCCTGACCAGAGCATCCCTGGCTCGCCAGGGAAATGCTGAAAAGGACCTCATGGTCGGGAATGAGCTTGCCAACCGAATGTCCTTGTTTTATGCCCACGCAACACCCATGCTTCGGGTTCTGAGTCACGCGACCATTACTTTTTTGATGGATGTAAGTGATATTACTTTTCTTCTTTCTCCAATATTCTATCTTTCCGCTATTGTTCAGGATTATTGATCCTAGTAAATGCAGTCTGATGTAGCTAGAAGAAATTTCGATTAAATTTTATTATCTATATTTGACTTTAAAATTATATTCGATGAAGGATAATGCTGTTCCAAAAATTTTATTTTATTTTATTCGTTCCAAAATTTTTTATTTATGATTAACTAATACAAAGCATAGGAAATAGACATGATATCTATTCTTCCGGTTCATGTGTATATCTAATAGATACCATCCATTATATTCTGTGTAATTAGCAATTAATTTTTCTGTTTCTTTTCAAAAATATAAATCATTTATATCGTATAAATTTTAAACAAAAGAGCTTTTATTAACAGTATATATTATACTGTAGTGTAATGGTGTGTGAAGAAAGTAACGCAATTTAAATAATGACGTGCACTGAAGCAGAAAATTAAAAATGAATGTGAACGAATTCAGGGAACAATAGTTCTCGGTACATTTACCGACATAATAGATAATAGATCCGTTCAAATTGGGCTGGCTACTTTAATTGGGACAATGAAGGAAGCGCTTGTTTATTACATTATCTTCTACCCTACTAAATTTCACGTATCAATTTCAACAGGAAATCTCTTCTTAGTTTTTCTACTGCGCTTTTCAAAGTTTACATTAATAACCTTTTGAATATTTAAATGTATGCGTTGAAACCAACCCGAAACGTAATGTTAATGAATATGTAATTTCTATATTATGCATTCCATGTAGAATTCAAAGTTACATGGTTGCAACTACCTTACATTGCTAAATAATGTAAATTTATTTCAGAATGAAGACGTAGCACGTGAAAATATCACAGAAACACTTGGTACCATGGCCAAAGTTTGCTTGCGCATGTTAGAAAATCCGTAAGTAAAACACTGATTTTACAATGAAAAGAATTTTTTCTAAAAATAAAAAACATTTGAAAACGAAACGTGTTATTGTTCTTAGGAATCTTTTGGCGCAATTCCAACGAGAGGAGACTCAACTCTTTGTTCTGAGAGTGATGGTGGGGTTAGTAATCCTTTATGATCATGTTCATCCTCAAGGTGCCTTTGTTAAGGGTTCGAATGTCGATGTAAGTTATTATTATACACGTTGATGATTATTTTAAAAAATATGTATATTTAATGTTACAATGACGTCAATTGAGTGATCAAATTAAAAAGTTTCTTGTTATTTTTAAATTTACTATTTATCGAGATAAATAATGGAACTTATTTATATTTTTAAAGGGGGCCTTTGTATGCTGAAAAATTATTTATAATCGCTTGAAAGAATGCAATATTTTTTAAATTCTTTAATATTTGTTATATTATTAGGTATGTTAAAATATTTGCTGTGATACAGGTTAAAGGCTGTGTAAAACTACTAAAGGAACAACCACCCTGCAAAAGCGAAGGTCTACTAAACGCTCTTCGTTACACTACCAAGCATTTGAACGAGGAGAACACACCGAAAAATATCAAGAACTTGCTAGCCGCATGATTACCAAAACAGCGCGGCTGCTGTATCAGAAGTTGAGACAGTTGGCTGTTGATTTCCTATTATCAGAGAAATGAGCGATACATCCACGTTGTAGCGCCACGAGGATGCCGAAGCAGATAATTCTCGCGTTTTACCGCGTGATCCAAGTAACCTTGTTCCTGATCGTGGCTGGGTGGTGGACCACAGAAGTGTCTTTCGTATCGACAGAAATATAAAAAAGGTAATTGTTACAAACACTCGCCTGAGGAATCCAAAGGACAGTAACTCAAAGTGGCTAATTTAAAGTGGCAAAAGAAATTTTCAAATATTATTTGACGTTCCTTGGGTCCTTCTCAGAATAAAAATAAAAATTTAAACATTTATACTTTGCTATTTGAAAAATGGTCATTTTGGAGTTATTGTATTTCGTATCGAATCTATGATAGCTGTTCGAAAACTGCCGACTTTTCAACAAACCTTCGACGAAACCAAAAAGTAGAAAGCCGAACGAGACGATATTTCTGTGATTGTAAGGCAAAGTAACATAAGTCAGATTTTTAACTTTCAGCTTATGCCTTAATTAACATTCAGAAGGCAGTATTTGCATTTTCTGAAAATTGTTTTTCTTCGAAAGAGGAATACCTACGTCGAAAATATGTCCAACGAAGAAGGTAATGAAAATCCAGATAACATATATATTTATATTACAATGAAAGTTTCAAACATTAGATCGCAGTACTATGGAAATGAAAACATCTAACTTGTACTGTTCTGTCCTACAATCAACAGATTTATCATCAGAGGAATTGCTGAATTTGCTCGTACGCGATACCTTTATTGCCGTTACGAAAACGAGCATTTAAACATTATTATTACGGTATTACTACTCACACCACTTTCATTATTAATCATTGCTATGATTGCAATTTTTCACGTTCATTCGAGTTATTATTATCACTCAAGTATTATTATCCTGGCTAACGTCACCGCGCATTATCACTGTATTGTCTTCCCGGACTAAAGAGGGGAGTTAATTACAGCATATCAGAAACGTATTTAGGATAATTTTTATTGTGAACGATCGAGAGTGTCACGAGGAGAAATTTAATAACGTTGTAAGGTACAGTGCAAATCTTTAGCTATTGTTTTTCTTTGTTGAATGAAGAGAATTGGTTACTAACAATCGAATGGATATTGATAAGAACCCCAAGTACTATTTTATCTTTACTTCGTTTTGTTAATGTAATTGAATATTTATATCTGTTTTATTGTTTCGTCGTGAATATAATTGAGCTCTTCCATAAAATGAATTAACCCTTGAAACATAGATTTTGGGTTATAGCCATTTTGATCTATAATTAAAAGATCATTATATCAATTATATAAATAAAGTGTTCGACCATTCTTTGAGGGAGTGGTAGCTAGGATGATACTGAACAAGTTTCTTTAGCAAAACACACATTAAGGCTTAGTTTTTGAATTATTAGTAATAAGACCGAAAAATTATTAGAATAATTATTTGACAAATTTATATTTTGAGAAGACCGCCTAGAATTAAGTATTTTTAAAGTTCGATCACAGCGCCATCTATACCAAAACGGCGGAAACTACTCAACAAATTACCGACTTATCGACTGAACTTCCGACAGTCGGTTATCGACCGTTCGGCAGTCGGTAAGTTAACGAATAGTTTGCGCCGCTTTTATGTAGATGGCGCAATGGCAATGGTTTGGGGTGTCGGGGACCCCGTAGCTAACGAAAAAAGTTGTTCAGCATTATCGCAGCTATCACCCCCTCAAAGAATACTCACCTGTAGCCGAGCATCTTATATGCAGGTTTTATTTAATATTATATTTTTGCACTAGCTTTACAAACTTTTTATGTTCTGCATATTTTAGTTTTGTCTTAACAGAAGACTGCTTCTTCCTTTCAATACCTTCGACGAATATTTTGTTTGTATTATCAGTTAGAAAAATGATCATGCGATGCAGTATAATTTTATAGAATGATTTTTCTAATATAAAATTCGAATTTATGTCGAACAGTTTTTTTTTAATCGCACATTTAAGAAATCTGAATGTATTATCAATGTAGTTTTTCTTGCATCAAGAATTTTCCTGTTTTTCATTGAATATTATACAATTTCATTATTCAATGTTTTATCAATAATTTGAACATTTATTTCATTTATTTTTCATGACAATTTCATGCGATCACGAGCTTCGAATGCTTCGAGAATGCTTCGAGAGAATAAAACTCATTCTTAGAGTTGCTTGTAATTAAAATACAACTCTTTTTACATGTTTTTAAAAAAAGTAATCATTGTTATCACCAATACTGCCCAAGATAAAATATATCGAAGTAATAAAATTTGTACAAATATTTGTTATTTCATATTCTACCTTGAATTTTGTATTTGGAAAAATGAAAAAAGAGAAGACAAAGAACAAAACAGCTTCTACAATAGAAGAAATTATTCACTAGCTGTAGATTCGAACCTTTTTCAGTGATATTTATTATAATTTTATACAATGTTGTTTTTTATATAAAGTTAATTATAGATGAATATCCTTGTTTGTAATATATGATTACATATATTTAATTAAAAATCAATTGTACGAGCCAGATTCATGGCAACGATTTTTCATCAAATCATTTCTAATATTTTATTCACTTCTGTATAAAAATTACATTTTAGAGTTAAAGCATTTAATTAATAAGACATTGATTTTTAAATTAATCGTCTTCTGTTCTGCGTGTGTTTCAACAAATATTTATAGCATGTGTATTTTTCCTCTTTGTGCGTAAATTTTTCGTAATCATACTTATGAATAGAAGTAATAAATATTCTTTCAGTGTTGAAGATCAAAATTAAATAGCACTGTCCTTTCCCAGGCAAATCAAAATTTGCATGTCACAGCAATAAAAAAGGAAGCTCAATTTAATGTTGAATTATTTTATGTAACAATGGTTATACACTGGGTGTAGGAAAATTGAAAAAATCACAACTGGTATTACATTATCAACTTTTATAGCAAATATTTCCACTTATACATGATTTATAATTTCCTTCGGACAATCCTGTTAAGAACAATTAATTATTCCATTAATAACAGGGAAAGGAAAAATGTTGCACTCGATTAACAGATACTAATGTTTATTGTAAATAAGAAAAATGTTACTGGCATAGTTTACGAAAATATAACTAATTTTCACAATCGCGTTAACAATCAGAAGTAAAAGTTTATTAGGATTTTTGGTTTCTATCATTTTTAACAATGAAATAATTCGTACAAAATAAGAACAACGGAGATGCGCAAATATATCGCAAACGAACTATAGTGTGATGTGTCTAAATATCTTGAAAAATACAATTTTCAACGTATAAAACGAGGTAAATTTTGTGTATTTGTAAGAGTACCTGTGTGTGACTGAAAAATACGAATACATATACGAAACATATTTTACGTACAAAGTGCATTACAATATATTTCATTGTCGTTAAATTTCCGTGAATATTATTTTAATCACTATTGTTTGCCTTACCAGAAAATAATGATTAGATCTTCCTTAAATTATACGTGTCTTTTTATATAAACCTACTTTACAACGTAATAAGAATCAACATTATTTATACTCGATTAACAGATATGTTGTGTATAAAAGAGTTTCTGTTTACGAACATATTTATATTTAAATAACACTTATAACCAATATTTTAAGAGTATTGGACTATAGCATCTATTTACAAATATTGTTACTTGGAGATGAAATTGTAGAACACCAGAAGTTAATAAAACACATTATATAAATACCTTCCGTCCAATCATCTTGTTCCTACGTATCTTTTGCAACCCTTGCAACTCTTTCGTTCCTATCTATGTCCGACATCCCTTAACACTAAATAAGGGCCGTTGGCGTCGGGGGTGGGGGCCCCGGGCGCCTTTGCACACGGCCCGAGGAGAAGCCGGCACCGAGTGCGACCCTCGGTGTCGGCCACAGGGTAGGCAGCAGGTGGAGGTCTCAATTAGGACCTCCCCAGAGCCTTCCTTTAGCACCAGTGTCGGTCGCCGTGGGGTTTTAGTCAGTAAGAATCTGACACTCCCCCGCCGCCCTCCCCCAGGGGACGGTGGGGGGTCTTATGCAAGATTTCCCCACGTTAAAGAAAAAAAAAAAAAAACATTTACGGCCACTGATTCGAGTAAAGGTAAGTAAAGGTAAGTTTGAATTCATATTTTTGAAAATTTGGTTCTTTTTTTACCACCAGAGGGCGCTGTTTCGACCTGAAAATTTTAGTTCACATTTTTCCCGCTAGAGGGCCAGAAATGGAGCAAGCTTTAGTTCCTTTTTCCGAAACCAGAGGGCGCTGATTCGACGTCGAAAATTTAGTTCACATTTTTCCCGCCAGAGGGCCAGAAATGGAGCAAGCTTTAGTTCCTTTTTCCGAAACCAGAGGGCGCTGATTCGACGTCGAAAATTTAGTTCACATTTTTCCCGCCAGAGGGCCAGAAATGGAGCAAGCTTTAGTTCCTTTTTCCGAAACCAGAGGGCGCTGATTCGACATCGAAATTTTAGTTCACATTTTTCCCGCCAGAGGGCCAGAAATGGAGCAAGCTTTAGTTCCTTTTTCCGAAACCAGAGGGCGCTGATTCGACGTCGAAAATTTAGTTCGCATTTTTCCCGCTAGAGGGTACTGTTTTTGTAAGAGAAACAGACATTTAAGGTGTAGGAGGATGTAAAGGATTGAAGGGTGTAAGGTATAGAAGGGTGTAAAGAATAGAGGAATGGAAAGGATTGAAGGGTGTAAGGTATAGAACTATGTAAAGAATAGAAGGATATAAGGCATACGAGGATGTGCGGGATACAGGTATGTAAGGAAAGCAGTGATGGAAGGAAAGCAGTGATAGAAGGAATGCAGAGATGTAAGGGATACAGGGATGTAAGGATATCAGGGATGTGAAGAATGCAGGGATGTAAGGGATACCGGGATGTAAGGATATCAGGGATGTAAGGAATGCAGAGATGTAAGAGATTCAGGGATATAAGGGATGTAGGGTTGGGTTTCGTGAGGCCCACAAAGACAACAAAATAATAAATAACTTGGAAGAGAGAGCCAAGGCCCATGAAGAGGGATAAAATAAATAAATTCACCAAGGGATGGTGAATAAAACGAGAAGGATTTGGAATGGCTAGTCCCCGCGGAGTCTATAAAAGGGTGATATAATAATAAATAAAAGAATAGTGAAGTGAGGCACACAGGAGTAATAAAATCAATACGTTCATCCTCCTAATAAGTTTATTCAATAAGCTATGAAGATAAATACAGCAAATTAAATGAACGCAGAAAATAAAATATAGATATATGTATGTTTAGCAGGTAGATCTGCACCCCTCGGCGGTCGCTATAAGACTGATGCTGTTTCACTTCGCTCTAGGTCGAATGGTTGATAACGGTGCTGCAGCCAGCTACCTTTACTGGAGTCAGTGGCTGTAAATATATATATTTTTTTTTTAAAGTGGGGAAATCTTGCATCGTCCCCTGGGAGAGGGCGGCGGGGGAGTGTCGGATTTCTACTTACTAAAACTCCACGGCGACCGATACTACGGAGACCTCCCCCTCTGCTTATCCTGTGGCCGATACCGGTGGTCCAACCCGTTACCGACTTCACCTCCAGCCACGTGCAAAGGTGCCCAGAGCCTCCACTCCCGACGCCGACGGTCCATTTCCTGGGGGACATTATAAATATGAATCAGTGCCCAGTTTCATGGCTTCCCATCAGCACCTAATGTAGATTCCTGTTTTTGCTTTCTTTCTTATCTGTAGATAGACTACTTTTCCGACCTACGAATTACAGATTTCTGTCTCATTAACAGTTGGTCGTGTAGTTTACTGTTTTGTCATTCTTACTATCAGTCTATAAGACAGTTTCCTGAGTTAACATATAACAACTTCATCTTGAACTTTGTATTTTTGTCTGATGGTGGTTTAAGGACGGTCAAAGTCGGCCATTGACATGACGCCACGGTTGTTATTAAGGCGCAATTCTTTAAATATTGATTGAAAGGAGGTTGGAGTTGGTGGGTGGAAACTCAAGAAAGATGAAGGGAAGGGAAAGGAAAGGTGGAGGTTAGACGAACGAAGGAGATGAGATGAGAAGGTGGATGGAGAAGGGAAGATCGTCTATTATATATGATGGGCGCGGTCGCGTCCTATGGATTTTTTTTTCTTGTATTATAAGTTTATTTTATGAAACAATTTACAATTATCAACTTATTCAAAACGTTTGTAAGATGGTATATGTACGTATATTTCTTGAAATGTTAAAATGTGTTGGAAATATATGTGAAGACACCAGGTATTCGAATACTTGTCTTCAGTGTATTTCAAAATTACCCCGTGGGGTTGAAATCCAGTGACTGGGGTGGCCATTTCATTCATTTCAATTTCCTATTTTTTGTAACAACTACTCTAAATAACTATTATATATCCTAGCATTGTGCCTGGAGTGATTATCATGTACAAGCATAAAATTATTGACAAAGAACTAAATACGTAATGTAATTTGGATTTATTTAAAAATGACAAAATGTCCCATAATTTAAAAACATGAATGTACGTTTTATGCAATTAATATTTCTTTCCTCTACCATACAAGTTCGTCGTGTTTGATCTCGAAACGAAGCATTGAAGTTGCCAAGCTTTCAGAGGCGTAGCTATGTTTTTAAAGGCGTCCAAGAATATCGCTTGGCTTTTGTTTTGCCTATAGCGGGACCGTCACTGCCATCAGTACCACCCTTGCAGAATTTTCCTTCCCCGTCGAGCTGTAAACTCCCCCCCGACTTTCGCACTACCCGCTTCAGCCACACTCGTTTTTTTCGAACTTTAGGGCCAAGAGTGAGCGAGAAAGAAAGTCAGTGAGTCCTATGGATTTTTTTTCCGTACCGCGAGTTCACCCCCTGTTGGTGCTTACCCCCTCGCCCCTTGTCTGGACCGGTCCACGATGTTTTAAGGGCTCGAGCAACCCCTAGCGAAGGTTCTAAAAAATTCAACCCCCAATTTGCAGGGTTAGCGGTCTGTTTAATTGCGATATCCACTACCTTCTTGCGATTCATCTTATTTTTTTGCTTTAACCGTCTGTCCCTCTTACCATGATACTCTTTCTCTCCTTCTCATTCTCTTTTTATTCCTGTCTGTCGTGATTTTCGAGGCGTCGAGCTGGCTCATAAGGGCTCGTTGCTCGTTAATCTTCCGACAGTCTTTTTTTCCCTTTACCATGGCACCGTGGCTGTTCGAGAATAATAATGAGACTAATCCGTCCGACACACCCTGTACATTAATTCCTTGCACGGAACGTTTCTCGAACCGACCACTTGAAAGTCTTACCGATACGAATTGTATTTCTTTCAGAGCAATCGCGCGATAAGGGGTACCCATTAATACACTAATTTCTTCTTCGACTGTGTTTATGGTTGTAAGAGATCTGAATGAAACAGGTGCTGGGTGAATTGGTAGCTCGTGGTCTGTGATATGGACAAGGGTTAAACCAAAATATTTTTTTCAATACTAATGAAGAAGTATACATGTACAAGGATATTCCCCTAAATTAAAATGTATCATTTTTAAATGGAAAAGTTTCATATTTCGTTAGAAAATGAAATTAAGGCTTTCTCTATGGTCCGTCATTCGAGGATTAAGAAATGTATTATATTGTATTTCTTACTGTTTTAGAAAAAGGGTGAATCATAGTATATAGGGGTCAACAACTGTATATATTACCCTATTCGATATTAAGAAATAATGTATGCTTAATGAAAATACTAGAAAAAAATGACGCTCACTGTGCCCGCCCATTAACCCTTACGAACATACTAACGCGGGAACATAATCTCAGCGAGCCACCCCTTTCGACGCGCTGTGGGATACCATGCACCCGTGTAACCAGTCTAATTGCGATATCGCCTTTTTTTGCATACCGTTTTTTGCCTTCCTACTCGTTCCTCTCCTCGTCTCCTCATCCATCGTTTTTTGCCTGTTATTTTCCTGCCACCCGTAATTATGTGGGCGCGGTGGACCAAACAAGGGAAGGAGCTGCTCTACGCCACGGTGGCAAAGAAAAAAGTCGTTTTGCATATTTAAATCTGGCGTAGTGCGAACAGGACGGAGAGTTACATTGGAACGAGCCGAGCGAGAAAGCAAAAGGGGTTGCAGGAGTTATCCATCGGGAGCGAAAGAGAAAAAAAGAAGCGGCGTAAAGGCGCGTGCGCCACGACAATGGGCTGTGTTTGCACACCCGAAAATTGGCCGGCACAGAAAAACAGGCGGCTGTCTGTCCGCATGAGACGAAAAAAAAAAAGCGTTACCCGATGCAGGAAAGACAGGGTGAGCGGCTAATCGAAGGACACCCGTTAAATATCTTTAACCCCGTAACACCGGCGTGCACTCGGGAAAAAAAGGGTTTTTTCAGTTCATACGAAATAATTAGCACGATGTGATTTATGACATTTGAGGAGCAGGTCGTTGTTGTATCATTTATTATTGGATAATCGCATTTGATTTTACAGCCACTCAGTTCTGGTTATGAAAAGAAAGAAGTATAAATGTTGGAATATTGCAATTGCAAAAAGAAATTTTCTAAATTCTTAAAATCATTGGAGTTAGATAAATCTATGACATATTTATAAGGAAATTAATTTTTAATTATAAAACTACAAAATTAATTATAATAGAATAGTTGGTTGTTTTTATATTAATATCTTTTTCCCAAGATTGCTTAAAATTAATCGTGACAGAAAACAATTGAGTATCTCGTTTCA